GTCCACGTCCACGTCCACGTCCACGTCCATGTCCATGTCCACGTCCATGTCCACGTCCACGTCCACGTCCACATCCCCGTCCACGTCCATGTCCACGTCCACGTCGACGTCCACGTCCACGTCCACGTCCACGTCCATGTCCACGTCCACGTCCACGTCCACGACCACGTCCACGTCCACGTCCACGACCACGTCCATGTCCACGTCCACGTCCACCTCCATGTCCACGCCACGTCCACGTCCACGTCCACGTCCACGTCCAGGTCCACGTCCACGTCCACGTCCACGTCCACGACCATGTCCACGTCCATGTCCACGTCCACGTCCAGGTCCACGTCACGACCATGTCCACGTCCACGTCCACGTCCACGTCCATGTCCACGTCCACGTCCACGTCCACGTCCACGTCCACGTCCATGTCCACGTCCACGTCCACGTCCACTTCCATGTCCACGTCCATGTCCACGTCCCGTCCACGGTCCACGTCCACGTCCCTTCCATGTCCACGTCCACGTCCACGTCCATGTCCACGTCCATGTCCACGTCCACGTCCACGACCATGTCCACGTCCACGTCCACGTCCATGTCCACGTCCACGTCCACGTCCACGTCCACGTCCACGTCCATGTCCACGTCCACGTCCACGTCCACGACCACGTCCACGTCCACGTCCACGACCACGTCCACGTCCACGTCCACGTCCACGTCCATGTCCACCTCCACGTCCACATCCACGACCATGTCCACGTCCACGTCCACGTCCACGTCTATGTCCACGTCCAGGTCCACGTCCACGTCCACGACCACGACCACGTCCACGTCCACGTCCACGTCCACGTCCACGACCACGTCCACGTCTACGTCCACGTCCACGTCCTACGTCCACGTCCACGTCCACGTCCACGTCCACGTCTATGTCGACGTCCACGTCCATGTCCACGTCCACGTCCACGACCACGTCCACGTCCACGTCCACGTCCATGTCCACGTCCACGTCCACGTCCACGTCCATGTCCACGTCCACGTCCATGTCGACGTCCACGTCCCTGTCGACGTCCACGTCCACGACCACGTCCACGTCCACGTCCACGTCCACGTCTACGTCCACGTCTACGTCTACGTCCACGTCCACGTCCACGCACGACCACGTCCACGTCGACGTCCACGTCCACGTCCACGTCCACGTCCATGTCCACGACCACTTCCATGACTTCGTCCACGACCATGTCCACGTCCACTCTAGTCCACGTCCACGTCTACGTCCATGTCCAAATCCACGTCCATGTCCACGTCCACGTCCACGTCCACGTCCATGTCCACGTCCATGTCCACGTCCACGTCCAGGTCCACGTCCACGACCATGTCCACATCAACGTCCACGTCCAGGTCCACGTCCACGTCCATTTCCACGTCTACGTCCACGTCCACGTCCATGTCCAAGTCCACGTCCACGTCCACGTCCACGTCCACGACCACGTCCACGTCCACCGTCCACGTCCATGTCCAAGTCCACGTCCACGTCCACGTCCACGTCCACGACCACGTCCACGTCCACGTCCACGTCCACGTCCACGTCCATGTCCACGTCCACGTCCATGTCGACGTCCACGTCTCTGTCGACGTCCACGTCCACGACCACGTCCACGTCCACGTCCACGTCCACGTCTACGTCCACGTCTACGTCTACGTCCACGTCCACGTCCACGCACGACCACGTCCACGTCGACGTCCACGTCCACGTCCACGTCCACGTCCATGTCCACGACCACTTCCATGACTTCGTCCACGACCATGTCCACGTCCACTCTAGTCCACGTCCACGTCTACGTCCATGTCCAAATCCACGTCCATGTCCACGTCCACGTCCACGTCCACGTCCATGTCCACGTCCATGTCCACGTCCACGTCCAGGTCCACGTCCACGACCATGTCCACATCAACGTCCACGTCCAGGTCCACGTCCACGTCCATTTCCACGTCTACGTCCACGTCCACGTCCATGTCCAAGTCCACGTCCACGTCCACGTCCACGTCCACGACCACGTCCACGTCCACGTCCACGTCCACGTCCACGTCCATGTCCACGTCCACGTCCACGTCCACGTCCACGTCTATGTCCATGTCCACGTCCATGTCCACATCCACGTCCACGTCCATGTCCACGTCCACGTCCACGTCCACGTCCACGTCCATGTCCACGTCCACGTCCACGTCCACTTCCATGTCCACGTCCATGTCCACGTCCACGTCCACGTCCACGTCCACGTCCATATCCACGTCCACGTCCACGTCCACGTCCACGTCCATGTCCACGTCCACGTCCACGTCCACGTCCACGTCCATGTCCACGTCCACGTCCACGACCACGTCCACGTCCACGTCCACGTCCACGTCCACGTCCATGTCCATGTCCACGTCCATGTCCACGTCCACGTCCACGTTCACTTCCATGTCCACGTCCATGTCCACGTCCACGTCCACGTCCACGTCTACGTCCACGTCCACGTCCACGTCCACGTCGACGTCCACGTCGACGTCCACGTCCACGTCCACGTCCATGTCCACGACCACGACCACGACCACGTCCACTTCCACGTCCACGTCCACGACCATGTCCACGTCCACGTCCACGTCCATGTCCACGTCCACGTCCACGTCCACGTCCATGTCCACGTCCACGTCCACGTCCACGTCCACGTCCACGACCATGTCCACGTCCATGTCCACGTCCACGTCCAGGTCCACGTCCACGACCATGTCCACGTCCACGTCCACGTCCACGTCCACGTCCATGTCCATGTCCACGTCCATGTCCACGTCCACGTCCACGTCCACATCCACGTCCACGTCCATGTCCACGTCGACGTCCACGTCCACGTCCACGTCCACGTCCACGTCCATGTCCACGTCCACGTCCACGTCCACGACCACGTCCACGTCCACGTCCACGTCCACGTCCATGTCCACGTCCATGTCCACCTCCACGTCCACATCCACGTCCACGTCCATGTCCACGTCCACGTCCACGTCCACGTCCACAACCATGTCCACGTCCATGTCCACGTCCACGTCCAGGTCCACGTCCACGACCATGTCCACGTCCACGTCCACGTCCACGTCCACGTCCACGACCATGTCCACGTCCACGTCCATGTCCACGTCCACGTCCACGTCCACGTCCACGTCCACGTCCATGTCCACGTCCACGTCCACGTCCACGTCCACGTCCATGTCCACGTCCAGGTCCACGTCCACGTCCATTTCCACGTCTACGTGCACGTCCACGTCCATGTCCAAGTCCACGTCCACGTCCACGTCCACGTCCACGACCACGTCCACGTCCACGTCCACGTCCACGTCCATGTCCACGTCCATGTCCACGTCCACGTCCACGTCCACGTCCACGTCCATGTCCATGTCCACGTCCATGTCCACATCCACGTCCACGTCCATGTCCACGTCCACGTCCACGTCCACGTCCACGTCCATGTCCACGTCCACGTCCACGTCCACTTCCATGTCCACGTCCATATCCACGTCCACGTCCACGTCCACGTCCACGTCCATGTCCACGTCCACGTCCACGTCCACGTCCACGTCCATGTCCACGTCCACGTCCACGTCCACGTCCACGTCCATGTCCACGTCCACGTCCACGTCCACGACCACGTCCACGTCCACGTCCACGTCCACGTCCATGTCCATGTCCACGTCCATGTCCACGTCCACGTCCACGTTCACTTCCATGTCCACGTCCATGTCCACGTCCACGTCCACGTCCACGTCTACGTCCACGTCCACGTCCACGTCCACGTCCACGTCGATGTCCACGTCGACGTCCACGTCCACGTCCATGTCCACGACCACGACCACGACCACGTCCACTTCCACGTCCACGTCCACGACCATGTCCACGTCCACGTCCACGTCCACGTCCATGTCTACGTCCACGTCCACGTCCACGTCCATGTCCACGTCCACGTCCACGTCCACGTCCACGTCCACGACCATGTCCACGTCCATGTCCACGTCCACGTCCAGGTCCACGTCCACGACCATGTCCACGTCCACGTCCACGTCCATGTCCATGTCCACGTCCATGTCCACGTCCACGTCCAGGTCCACGTCCACGACCATGTCCACGTCCACGTCCACGTCCATGTCCACGTCCATGTCCACGTCCACGTCCACGTCCACATCCACGTCCACGTCCATGTCCACGTCCACGTCCACGTCCACGTCCACGTCCACGTCCACGTCCATGTCCACGTCCACGTCCACGTCCACGACCACGTCCACGTCCACGTCCACGTCCATGTCCACGTCCATGTCCACCTCCACGTCCACATCCACGTCCACGTCCACGTCCATGTCCACGTCCACGTCCACGTCCACGTCCACGACCATGTCCACGTCCATGTCCACGTCCACGTCCAGGTCCACGTCCACGACCATGTCCACGTCCACGTCCACGTCCACGTCCACGTCTACGACCATGTCCACGTCCACGTCCATGTCCACGTCCACGTCCACGTCCACGTCCACGTCCACGTCCATGTCCACGTCCACGTCCACGTCCACGTCCACGTCCATGTCCACGTCCAGGTCCACGTCCACGTCCATTTCCACGTCTACGTCCACGTCCACGTCCATGTCCAAGTCCACGTCCACGTCCACGTCCACGTCCACGACCACGTCCACGTCCACGTCCACGTCCACGTCCATGTCCACGTCCATGTCCACGTCCACGTCCACGTCCACGTCCACGTCTATGTCCATGTCCACGTCCATGTCCACATCCACGTCCACGTCCATGTCCACGTCCACGTCCACGTCCACGTCCATGTCCACGTCCACGTCCACGTCCACTTCCATGTCCACGTCCATATCCACGTCCACGTCCACGTCCACGTCCACGTCCATGTCCACGTCCACGTCCACGTCCACGTCCACGTCCATGTCCACGTCCACGTCCACGTCCACGTCCACGTCCATGTCCACGTCCACGTCCACGTCCACGACCACGTCCACGTCCACGTCCACGTCCACGTCCACGTCCATGTCCATGTCCACGTCCATGTCCACGTCCACGTCCACGTTCACTTCCATGTCCACGTCCATGTCCACGTCCACGTCCACGTCTACGTCCACGTCCACGTCCACGTCCACGTCCACGTCGACGTCCACGTCGACGTCCACGTCGACGTCCACGTCCATGTCCACGACCACGACCACGACCACGTCCACTTCCACGTCCACGTCCACGACCATGTCCACGTCCACGTCCACGTCCACGTCCATGTCTACGTCCACGTCCACGTCCACGTCCATGTCCACGTCCACGTCCACGTCCACGTCCACGTCCACGACCATGTCCACGTCCATGTCCACGTCCACGTCCAGGTCCACGTCCACGACCATGTGCACGTCCACGTCCACGTCCATGTCCATGTCCACGTCCATATCCACGTCCACGTCCAGGTCCACGTCCACGACCATGTCCACGTCCACGTCCACGTCCATGTCCACGTCCATGTCCACGTCCACGTCCACGTCCACATCCACGTCCACGTCCATGTCCACGTCGACGTCCACGTCCACGTCCACGTCCACGTCCACGTCCATGTCCACGTCCACGTCCATGTCCACGTCCACGTCCACGTCCACGTCCACGTCCACGACCATGTCCACGTCCATGTCCACGTCCACGTCCAGGTCCACGTCCAGGTCCACGTCCACGACCACGTCCACGTCCACGTCCACGTCCACGTCCACGTCCACGTCCACGTCCATGTCCACGTCCATGTCCACGTCCACGTCCACGTCCACGTCCACGTCCACGTCCACGTCCACGTCCACTTCCATGTCCACGTCCACGTCCACGTCCACGTCCATGTCCACGTCCACGTCCACGTCCACGACCACGTCCACGTCCACGTCCACGTCCACGTCCATGTCCACGTCCACATCCATGTCCACCTCCACGTCCACATCCACGACCATGTCCACGTCCACGTCCACGTCCACGTCTATGTCCACGTCCAGGTCCACGTCCACGTCCACGACCACGACCACGTCCACGTCCACGTCCACGTCCACGTCCACGTCCACGACCACGTCCACGTCTACGTCCACGTCCACGTCTACGTCCACGTCCACGTCCACGTCCACGTCCACGTCTATGTCGACGTCCACGTCCATGTCCACGTCCACGTCCACGACCACGTCCACGTCCACGTCCACGTCCACGTCCACGTCCATGTCCACGTCCACGTCCACGTCCACGTCCATGTCCACGTCCACGTCCATGTCCACGTCCACGTCCATGTCCACGTCCCCGTCCACCTCCACGTCCACATCCACGACCATGTCCACGTCCACGTCCACGTCCATGTCTATGTCCACGTCCACGTCCACGTCCACGTCCACGTCCACGACCACGTCCACGTCCACGTCCACGACCACGTCCACGTCCAAGTCCACGTCCACGTCCAAGTCCACGTCCACGTCCACATCCACGTCCACCTCCACGTCCATGTCCACGTCCATGTCCACGTCCACGTCTACGTCTATGTCCACGTCCACGTTCACGTCCACATCCACGTCCACGTCCACGACCACGTCCACGTCCACGTCCACGTCCACGTCTACGTCCACGTCCACATCTACGTCCACGTCCACGTCCACGCACGACCACGTCCACGTCGACGTCCACGTCCACGTCCACGTCCATGTCCACGACCACTTCCATGACTTCGTCCACGACCATGTCCACGTCCATTCTAGTCCACGTCCACGTCTACGTCCATGTCCAAATCCACGTCCATGTCCACGTCCACGTCCACGTCCACGTCCATGTCCACGTCCATGTCCACGTCCACGTCCAGGTCCACGTCCACGACCATGTCCACATCAACGTCCACGTCCAGGTCCACGTCCACGTCCATTTCCACGTCTACGTCCACGTCCACGTCCATGTCCAAGTCCACGTCCACGTCCACGTCCACGTCCACGACCACGTCCACGTCCACGTCCACGTCCACGTCCACGTCCATGTCCACGTCCACGTCCACGTCCACGTCCACGTCCACGTCCATGTCCATGTCCACGTCCATGTCCACATCCACGTCCACGTCCATGTCCACGTCCACGTCCACGTCCACGTCCACGTCCATGTCCACGTCCACGTCCACGTCCACTTCCATGTCCACGTCCATGTCCACGTCCACGTCCACGTCCACGTCCACGTCCATGTCCACGTCCATGTCCACGTCCACGTCCACGTCCACGTCCACGTCCACGTCCACGTCCACGTCCACGTCCACGTCCACGACCACGTCCACGTCCACGTCCACGTCCACGTCCACGTCCATGTCCATGTCCACGTCCATGTCCACGTCCACGTCCACGTTCACTTCCATGTCCACGTCCAGGTCCACGTCCACGTCCACGTCCACGTCCACGTCCACGTCCACGTCTACGTCCACGTCCACGTCCACGTCCACGTCGACGTCCACGTCGACGTCCACGTCCACGTCCACATCCATGTCCACGACCACGACCACGTCCACTTCCACGTCCACGTCCACGACCATGTCCACGTCCACGTCCACGTCCACGTCCATGTCCACGTCCACGTCCACGTCGACGTCCATGTCCACGTCCACGTCCACGTCCACGTCCACGTCCACGACCATGTCCACGTCCATGTCCACGTCCACGTCCAGGTCCACGTCCACGACCATGTCCACGTCCACGTCCACGTCCACGTCCATGTCCACGTCCAGGTCCACGTCCACGACCATGTCCACGTCCACGTCCACGTCCACGTCCATGTCCATGTCCACGTCCATGTCCACGTCCACGTCCACGTCCACATCCACGTCCACGTCCATGTCCACGTCGACGTCCACGTCCACGTCCACGTCCATGTCCACGTCCATCTCCATGTCCACGTCCAGGTCCACGTCCACGACCATGTCCACGTCCACGTCCACGTCCACGTCCACGACCATGTCCACGTCCACGTCCATGTCCACGTCCACGTCCACGTCCACGTCCACGTCCACGTCCATGTCCACGTCCACGTCCACGTCCACGTCCACGTCCATGTCCACGTCCACGTCCACGTTCACGACAACGTCCACGTCCACGTCCACGTCCATGTCCACGTCCACGTCCACGTCCACGTCCATGTCCACGTCCATGTACACGTCCATGTCCATGTCCACGTCCATGTCCACGTCCACGTCTACGTTCACTTCCATGTCCACGTCCATGTCCACGTCCACGTCCACGTCTACGTCCACGTCCACGTCCACGTCCACGTCCACGTCCACGTCCACGTCCACGTCCACGTCCATGTCCACGACCACGACCACGACCACGTCCACTTCCACGTCCACGTCCACGACCATGTCCACGTCCACGTCCACGTCCACGTCCATGTCCACGTCCACGTCCACGTCCACGTCCATGTCCACGTCCACGTCCACGTCCACGTCCACGTCCACGACCATGTCCACGTCCATGTCCACGTCCACGTCCAGGTCCACGTCCACGACCATGTCCACGTCCACGTCCACGTCCACGTCCATGTCCATGTCCACGTCCATGTCCACGTCCACGTCCACGTCCACATCCACGTCCACGTCCATGTCCACGTCCACGTCCACGTCCACGTCCACGTCCACGTCCACGTCCATGTCCACGTCCACGTCCACGTCCACGACCACGTCCACGTCCACGTCCACGTCCACGTCCATGTCCACGTCCATGTCCACCTCCACGTCCACGTCCACGTCCACGTCCACGTCCATGTCCACGTCCACGTCCACGTCCACGTCCACGTCCACGTCCACGACCATGTCCACGTCCATGTCCACGTCCACGTCCAGGTCCACGTCCACGACCATGTCCACGTCCACGTCCACGTCCACGTCCACGACCATGTCCACGTCCACGTCCATGTCCACGTCCACGTCCACGTCCACGTCCACGTCCACGTCCATGTCCACGTCCACGTCCACGTCCACGTCCACGTCCACGTCCACGTCCACGTCCACGTCCACGTCCACGTCCACGTCCAGGTCCACGTCCACGTCCACGTCCACGTCCACGTCCACGTCCACGTCCACGTCCACGTCCATGTCCACGTCCATTTACACGTCCACGTCCACCTCCACTTCCATGTCCACGTCCACGTCCACGTCCACTTCCATGTCCACGTCCATGTCCACGTCCACGTCCACGTCCATGTCCACGTCCACGTCCACGTCCACGTCCACGTCCACGTCCATGTCCACGTCCACGTCCACGTCCACGACCACGTCCATGTCCACGTCCACGTCCACGTCCACGACCACGTCCACGTCCATGTCCATGTCCACGTCCACGTCCACGTCCACGTCCACGTCCACGTCCATGTCCACCTCCACGTCCACGTCCATGTCCACGTCCACGTCCTATCCACGTCCACGTCCACGTCCACGTCCACGTCCACGTCCACGTCCACGTCCACGTCCTATCCACGTCCACGTCCACCTCCACGTCCACATCCATGACCATGTCCACGTCCACGTCCACGTCCACGTCCACGTCCACGACCACCTCCACGTCCACGTCCACGTCCACGTCCACGTCCACGTCCACAACCACGTCCACGTCCACGTCCACGTCCACGTCCACGTCCACGTCCACGTCCACGTCACGTCGACGTCCACGTCCTCGTCCACGTCTACGTCCACGTCCACGACCACGTCCACGTCCACGACCATGTCCACGTCCACGTCCACGTCCACGTCTACGTCCACGTCCACGTCCACGTCCACGTCCACGACCACGTCCACGTCCACGTCCACGTCCACGTCCACGTCTACGTCCACGTCCACGTCCACGTCCACGACCACGTCCACGTCGACCTCCACGTTCACGTCCACGTCCACGTCCACGTCCATGTCCACGACCACGACCACGACCACGTCCACTTCCACGTCCACGTCCACGACCATGTCCACATCCACGTCCACGTCCACGTCCACGTCCATGTCCACATCCACGTCCACGTCCACGTCCACGTCCACCTCAACGACCATGTCCACGTCCATGTCCACGTCCACGTCCAGGTCCACGTCAACGACCATGTCCACGTCCACATCCACGTCCACGTCCATGTCCACGTCCACGTCCATGTCCACGTCCACGTCCACATCCACGTCCACGTCCATGTCCACGTCGACGTCCACGTCCACGTCCACGTCCATGTCCACGTCCACGTCCACGTCCACGACCACGTCCACGTCCACGTCCACGTCCACGTTTATGTCCACGTCCATGTCCACCTCCACGACCACGTCCACGTCCACGTCCACGTCCACGTTTATGTCCACGTCCATGTCCACCTCCACGTCCATGTCCACCTCCACGTCCACGTCCACGTCCATGTCCATGTCCACGTCCATGTCCACGTCCACGTCCACGTCCATGTCCATGTCCACGTCCACGTCCACGTCTAATCCACGTCCATGTCCACGACCACGTCCACGTCCACGTCCACGTCCTATCCACGTCCATGTCGACGTCGACGTCCACGTCCACGTCCACGTCCATGTCCATGTCGACGTCCACGTCCACGTCCACGTCCACGTCCACGTCCATGTCCACGTCGACGTCGACGTCCACGTCCACGTCCACGTCCATGTCCACGTCCACGTCCACGTCCACGACCACGTCCACGTCCACGTCCACGTCCACGTTTATGTCCACGTCCATGTCCACCTCCACGTCCACGTCCACCTCCACGTCCACGTCCACGTCCATGTCCATGTCCACGTCCATGTCCACGTGCACGTCCACGTCCATGTCCACGTCCACGTCCACGTCCATGTCCACGTCCACGTCTACGTCCATGTCCACGACCACGTCCACGTCCACGTCCACGTCCACGTCCTATCCACGTCCATGTCCACGTCCACGTCCACGTCCACGTTCACGTCCACGTCCATGTCGACGTCCACGACCACGTCCCTGTCCACGTCCACGTCCATGTCCACGTCCAAGAGCTTGCCTGGTCCAAGAGCGTCCACGTCCACGTCCACGTCCACGTCCACGTCGACGTTCATCTCCACGTCCACGTCCACATCCACGTCCATGTCCACGTCCAAGTCCTCCACGTCCACGTCCACGTCCATGTCCACGTCCACGTCTACGTCTTTGTCCACGTCCATGTCCACGTCCACGTCCACGTCCACGTCTACGTCCAATCCACGTCCACGTCCACGTCCACGTCCACGTCCATGTCCACGTCCACGTCCATGACCACGTCCATGTCCACGTCCACGTCCACGTCCACGTCCACGACCACGTCCACGTCTACGTCCACGTCCATGTCCACGTCCACGTCCATGTCGACGTCCAAGTCCTCCTCGTCCACGTCCATGTCCACGTCCACGTCCACGTCCACGACCACGTCCACGTCCACGTCCACATCCATCTCCACGTCCATGTCCACGTCCACGTCCATGTCCATGTCCACGTCCGCGTCCACGTCTACGTCCACGTCCATGTCCACGTCCATGTCCTCCACGTCCACGTCCACGTCCATGTCCACGTCCACGTCCACGTCCATGTCCACGTCCACGTCCATGCCACGTCCACGTCCACGTCCATGTCCACGTCCACGTCCTCGTCCACATCCACGTCCACGTCCACGTCCACGTCCATGTCCACGTCCAAGTCCTCCACGTCCACGTCCACGTCCATGTCCACGTCCACGTCCACGTCCACGTTCACGTCTATGTCCCCACGTCCACGTCCATGTCCACGTCCATGACCACGTCCACGTCCATGTCCACGTTCACGTCCATGTCCACGTCCACGTCCACGTCCATGTCCACGTCCACCTCCACGTCCACGTCCACGTCCATGTCCACGTCCACGTCCATGTCCACGTCCATGTCTACGTCCACGTCCATGTCCACATCCATCTCCACGTCCACGTCCACATCCACGTTCACGTCCACGTCCACGTCCACGTCCAGGTCGATGTCCACGTCCACGTCCACGTCCACGTCCACGTCCACCTCCACGTTCACGTCCACGTCCACGTCCACGTCCACGTCCACGTCCACGTCCATGTCCACGTCCACGTCCACGTCCACGTCCATGTCCACGTCCTCGTCCACGTCCACGTCCACGTCCTCGTCCACCTCCATGTCCACGTCCACGTCCACGTCCATGTCCACGTCCACGTCCACGTCCACGTTCATGTCCACGTCCACGTCCATGTCCACGTCCACGTCCACGTCCACGTCCACGTCTAGTCCACGTTCAAGTCCTCCACGTCCACGTCCACGTCCATGTCCACGTCCACGACCACGTCCACGTCCACGTCCACGTCCACGTCCATGTCCACGTCCACGTCCACGTCCACGTCCACCTCCACGTCCACGTCCATGTCGACGTCCACGTCCACGTCCACGTCCCTGTCCACGTCCACGTCCATGTCCACGTCCACGTCCATGTCGACGTCCACGTCCACGTCCACGTCCCTGTCCACGTCCACGTCCACGTCCATCTCCACGTCCACGTCCATGTCCACGTCCACGTCCACGTCCATGTCCACGTCCTCGTCCACGTCCATGTCCACGTCCACGTCCACGTCCACGTCCACGTCCACGTCCATGTCCACGTCCTCGTCCACATCCATGTCCACGTCCTCGTCCACCTCCATGTCCACGTCCACGTCCACGTCCATGTCCATGTCCACGTCCACGTCCACGTTCATGTCCACGTCCACGTCCACGTCCATGTCCACGTCCACGTCCACGTCCACGTCCACGTCCACGTCTAGTCCACGTTCAAGTCCTCCACGTCCACGTCCACGTCCATGTCCACGTCCACGACCACGTCCACGTCCACGTCCACGTCCATGTCCACGTCCACGTCCACGTCCACGTCCACCTCCACGTCCACGTCCATGTCGACGTCCACGTCCACGTCCACGTCCCTGTCAGCGTCCACGTCCATGTCCACGTCCACGTCCATGTCGACGTCCACGTCCACCTCCACGTCCCTGTCCACGTCCACGTCCACGTCCATCTCCACGTCCACGTCCACATCCACGTCCACGTCCACGTCCTCGTCCATGTCCACGTCCTCGTCCACGTCCATGTCCACGTCCACGTCCACGTCCACGTCCACGTCTAGTCCACGTTCAAGTCCTCCACGTCCACGTCCATGTCCACGTCCACGACCACGTCCACGTCCATGTCCACGTCCACGTCCACGTCCACGTCCACCTCCACGTCCACGTCCATGTCGACGTCCACGTCCACGTCCACGTCCCTGTCCACGTCCACGTCCACGTCCATCTCCACGTCCACGTCCACATCCACGTCCACGTCCACGTCCACGTCCATGTCCACGTCCTCGTCCACGTCCATGTCCACATCCACGTCCACCTCCATGTCCACGTCCAAGTCCACGTCCATGTCCACGTCCACGTCCATGTCCACGTTCATGTCCACGTCCACGTCCACGTCCATGTTCACGTCCACGTCCACGTCCACGTCCACGTCCATGTCCACGTCGACGTCCACGTCCACGTCCACGTCCACGTCCAGTCCACGTTCAAGTCCTCCACGTCCACGTCCACGTCCATGTCCACGTCCACGTCCACGACCACGTCCACGTCCACGTCCACGTCCACGTCCATGTCCACGTCCACGTCCACGTCCACGTCCACCTCCACGTCCACGTCCATGTCCACGTCCACGTCCACGTCCACGTCCCTGTCCACGTCCACGTCCATGTCCACGTCCACGTCCATGTCCACGTCCATGTCCACGTCCATATCCACGTCCACGTCCACGTCCACGTCCATGTCCACGTCCACGTCCACGTCCACGTCCATGTCCACGTCCTAGTCCTCCACATCCACGTCCACGTCCATGTCTACGTCCACGTCCACGTCCACGTCCATGTCGACGTCGACGTCCACGTCCACGTCCACGTCCACGTCCAGTCCATGTCCAAGTCCTCCACGTCCACGTCCACGTCCATGTCCACGTCCACGTCCACGACCACGTCCACGTCCACGTCCACGTCCACGTCCACGTCCAGGTCCATGTCCACGTCCACGTCCACGTCCACGTCCAGGTCCACATCCATGTCCATGTCCACGTCCACGTCCACGTCCACGTCCATGTCCACGTCCACATCCACGTCCATGTCCACGTCCACGTCCACGTCCATGTCCACGTCGACGTCCACGTCCACGTCCACGTCCAGTCCACGTTCAAGTCCTCCACGTCCACGTCCACGTCCACGACAACGTCCACGTCCACGTCCACGACAACGTCCACATCCACGTCCACGTCCACGTCCACGTCCATGTCCACGTCCACGTCCACGTCCACGTCCACCTCCACGTCCACGTCCATGTCGACGTCCACGTCCACGTCCACGTCCATGTCCACGTCCACGTCCACGTCCATGTCCACGTCCATATCCATGTCCACGTCAACGTGCACGTCCACGTCCATGTCCACATCCACGTCCACGTCCACGTCCAAGTCCACGTCGAGGTCCACGTCCACGTCTACGTCCAAGTCCACGACCACGTCCATGTCCACGTCCACGTCCACGTCCAAGTCCTCCACGTCCACGACCACGTCCATGTCCACGTCCATGTCAACGTCCACGTCCTCCACGTCCATGTTCACGTCCACGTTCACCTCCATGTCCACGTCCACGTCCACGTCCACGACCACGTCCACGTCCACATCCACGTCCACGTCCACGTCCACGTCCACGTCCACGTCCATGTCCACGTCCATGTCCACGTCCACGTCCACGTCCATGTCCACATCCATGTCCATGTCCACGTCCACGTCCACGTCCACGTCCATGTCCACGTCCACATCCACGTCCATGTCCACGTCCACGTCCACGTCCATGTCCACGTCGACGTCCATGTCCACGTCCACGTCCAGTCCACGTTCAAGTCCTCCACGTCCACGTCCACGTCCACGACAACGTCCACGTCCACGTCCACGACAACGTCCACATCCACGTCCACGTCCACGTCCACGTCCATGTCCACGTCCACATCCACGTCCACGTCCACCTCCACGTCCACGTCCATCTCCACGTCCACGTCCACGTCCACGTCCATGTCCACGTCCACGTCCACGTCCACGTCCATGTCCACGTCCATATCCACGTCCACGTCAACGTCCACGTCCACGTCCATGTCCACGTCCACGTCCACGTCTATGTCCAAGTCCACGTCGAGGTCCACGTCCACGTCTACGTCCACGTCCACGACCACGTCCATGTCCACGTCCACGTCCACGTCCAAGTCCTCCACGTCCACGATCACGTCCATGTCCACGTCCACGTCAACGTCCACGTCCTCCACGTCCATGTTCACGTCCACGTTCACCTCCATGTCCACGTCCACGTCCACGTCCACGACCACGTCCACGTCCACATCCACGTCCACGTCCACGTCCCTGTCCACGTCCACGTCCATGTCCACGTCCATGTCCATGTCCACGTCCACGTCCACGTCCCTGTCCACGTCCACGTCCACGTCCATGTCCACGTCCACGTCCATGTCCACGTCCACGTCCACCTCCACGTCCAGGTCCACGTCCAGGTCCATGTCCACGTCCACGTCCACGTCCACATCCACGTCCATGTCCACGTCCAAGTCCTCCACATCCACGTCCACGTCCACGTCCACGTCCACGTCCAGTCCACGTGCAAGTCCTCCACGTCCACGTCCACGTCCACATCCATGTCCACGTCCACGTCCACGACCACGTCCACGTCCACGTCCACGTCCATGTCCACGTCCATGTCCACGTCCACGTCCACGTCCACGACCACGTCCACGTCCACGTCCACGTCCACGTCCACGTCCACGTCCACGTCCATGTCCACGTCCATGTCCATGTCCACGTCCACGTCCATGTCCACGTCCACGTCCACGTCCATGTCCACGTCCACATCCACGTCCATGTCCACGTCCACGTCCACGTCAAGGTCCACGTCGACGTCCACGTCCACGTCCACGTCCAGTCCACGTTCAAGTCCTCCACGTCCACGTCCACGTCCACGACCATGTCCACGTCCACGTCCACGACAACGTCCACGTCCACGTCCACGACAACGTCCACCTCCACGTCCACGTCCACGTCCACGTCCATGTCCATGTCCACGTCCACGTCCACGTCCACGTCCACGTCCACCTCCACGTCCACGTCCATGTCGACGTCCACGTCCACGTCCACGTCCATGTCCACGTCCACGTCCACGTCCACGTCCACATCCATATCCACGTCCACGTCCACGTCCACGTCCATGTCCACGTCCACGTCCAAGTCCACGTCCAGGTCCACGTCCACGTCTACGTCCACGTCCACGACCACGTCTACGTCCACGTCCACGTCCAAGTCCTCCACTTCCACGACCACGTCCATGTCCACGTCCACGTCAACGTCCACGTCTTCCACGTCCATGTTCACGTCCACGTTCACCTCCATGTCCACGTCCACATCCACGTCCACCTCCATGTCCACGTCCACGTCCACGTCCACGTCCACCTCCATGTCCACGTCCACGTCCACGTCCACGTCCCTGTCCACGTCCACGTCCACGTCCACGTCCACGTCCCTGTCCACGTCCACGTCCATGTCCACGTCCACGTCCCTGTCCACGTCCACGTCCACGTCCACGTCCCTGTCCATGTCCACGTCCACGTCCACGTCCACGTCTACGTCCACGTCCACGTCCACGTCCACGTCCACGTCCATGTCCACGTCCATATCCACGTCCACGTCAACGTCCACGTCCACGTCCATGTCCACGTCCACGTCCACGTCCACGTCCAAGTCCACGTCGAGGTCCACGTCCACGTCTATGTCCACGTCCACGACCACGTCCATGTCCACGTCCACGTCCACGTCCAAGTCCTCCACGTCCACGACCACGTCCATGTCCACGTCCATGTCAACGTCCACGTCCTCCACGTCCATGTTCACGTCCACGTTCACCTCCATGTCCACGTCCACGTCCACGTCCACGACCACGTCCACGTCCACATCCACGTCCACGTCCACGTCCAAGTCCCTGTCCACGTCCACGTCCATGTCCACGTCCACGTCCATGTCCACGTCCACGTCCACGTCCACGTCCCTGTCCACGTCCACGTCCACGTCCATGTCCACGTCCACGTCCATGTCCACGTCCACGTCCACGTCCACGTCCACGTCCAGGTCCACGTCCAGGTCCATGTCCACGTCCACGTCCACGTCCACATCCACGTCCATGTCCACGTCCAAGTCCTCCACATCCACGTCCACGTCCACGTCCACGTCCATGTCCACGTCCACGTCCACGTCCACGTCCACGTCCACCTCCACGTCCACGTCCATGTCGACGTCCACGTCCACGTCCACGTCCATGTCCACGTCCACGTCCACGTCCACGTCCACATCCATATCCACGTCCACGTCCACGTCCACGTCCATGTCCACGTCCACGTCCACGTCCAAGTCCACGTCCAGGTCCACGTCCACGTCTACGTCCACGTCCACGACCACGTCCATGTCTACGTCCACGTCCACGTCCAAGTCCTCCACTTCCACGACCACGTCCATGTCCACGTCCACGTCAACGTCCACGTCCTCCACGTCCATGTTCACGTCCACGTTCACCTCCATGTCCACGTCCACGTCTACGTCCACGACCACGTCCACGTCCACGTCCACGTCCACGTCCCTGTCCACGTCCACGTCCATGTCCACGTCCACGTCCATGTCGACGTCCACGTCCACGTCCACGTCCCTGTCCACGTCTACGTCCATGTCTACGTCCACGTCCATGTCCACGTCCACGTCCACGTCCACATCCATGTCCACGTCCACGTCCACGTCCACGTCCATGTCCACGTCCATATCCACGTCCACGTCAACGTCCACGTCCACGTCCATGTCCACGTCCACGTCCACGTCCAAGTCCACGTCGAGGTCCACGTCCACGTCTACGTCCACGTCCACGACCACGTCCATGTCCACGTCCACGTCCACGTCCAAGTCCTCCCAACCACGACCACGTCCATGTCCACGTCCACGTCAACGTCCACGTCCTCCACGTCCATGTTCACGTCCACGTTCACCTCCATGTCCACGTCCACGTCCATGTCCACGACCACGTCCACGTCCACATCCACGTCCACGTCCACGTCCAAGTCCCTGTCCACGTCCACGTCCATGTCCACGTCCACGTCCATATCCACGTCCACGTCCACGTCCACGTCCCTGTCCACGTCCACGTCCACGTCCATGTCCACGTCCACGTCCACGTCCACGTCCACGTCCACGTCCACGTCCAGGTCCACGTCCAGGTCCATGTCCACGTCCACGTCCACGTCCACATCCACGTCCATGTCCACGTCCAAGTCCTCCACATCCACGTCCACGTCCATGTCCACGTCCACGTCTATGTCCACGTCCACGTCCACATCCACGTCCAGTCCACGTGCAAGTCCTCCACGTCCACGTCCACGTCCACATCCACGTCCACGACAACGTCCACATCCACGTCCACGTCCACGTCCACGTCCATGTCCACGTCCACGTCCACGTCCACGTCCACGTCCACCTCCACGTCCACATCCATGTCGACGTCCACGTCCACGTCCACGTCCATGTCCACGTCCACGTCCACGTCCACGTCCATGTCCACATCCATATCCACGTCCACGTCCACGTCCATGTCCACGTCCACGTCCACGTCCAAGTCCACGTCCAGGTCCACGTCCACGTCTACGTCCACGTCCACGACCACGTCCATGTCCACGTCCACGTCCACGTCTAAGTCCTCCATGTCCACGACCACGTCCATGTCCACGTCCATGTCAACGTCCACGTCCTCCACGTCCATGTTCACGTCCACGTTCACCTCCATGTCCACGTCCACGTCCACGTCCACGTCCACGACCACGTCCACGTCCACGTCCACGTCCACGTCCACGTCCCTGTCCACGTCCACGTCTATGTCCACGTCCACGTCCATGTCGACGTCCACGTCCACGTCCACGTCCCTGTCCACGTCCACGTCTACGTCCATGTCCACGTCCATGTCCATGTCCATGTCCACGTCCACGTCCACGTCCACGTCCACGTCCATGTCCACGTCCACGTCCACGTCCACGTCCAGGTCCACGTCCACGTCCATGTCCACGTCCACGTCCACGTCCACGTCCAGGTCCACGTCCACGTCCACGTCCACGACCACGTCCACGTCCACGTCCACGTCCATGTCCACGTCGACGTCCACGTCCACGTCAACGTCCACGTCCACGTCGACGTCCACGTCCACGTCCACGTCCACGTCGACGTCCATGTCCACGTCCACGTCCACGACCACGTCCACGTCCACGTCCACGTCCATGTCCACGTCGATGCCACGTCCATGTCCACGTCCATGTCCACGTCCACGTCCACGTCCATGTCCATGTCCCCGTCCACTTCCACGTCCACGTCCATGTCCACGTCCACGTCCTTGTCCACGTCCACGTCCACGTCCATGTCCACGTCCACGTCCACGTCTACGTCCACGTCCACGTCTACGTCCATGTCCACATCCACGTCCACGTCCACGACCACGTCCACGTCCACGTCCACGTCCATGTCCACGTCCATGTCCGCGTCCACGTCCATGTCCACGTCCATGTCCATGTCCATGTCCGCGTCCACGTCCATGTCCGCGTCCATGTCCGCGTCCATGTCCACGTCCAGGTCCACGTCCACGTCCATGTCCACGTCCACGTCCCCGTCCACATCCACGTCCACGTCCATGTCCACGTCCACGTCCACGTCTACGTCCACGTCCACGTCCATGTCCATGTCCACGTCCACGTCCACGTCCACGTCCACGACCACGTCCACGTCCACGTCCACGTCCATGTCCACGTCCATGTCCATGTCCATGTCCATGTCCATGTTCACGTCCATGTCCACGTCTACGTCCACGTCCACGTCCATGTCCACGTCCACGTCCATGTCGACGTCAACGTCCACGTCCACGTCCCTGTCCACGTCCACGTCCATGTCCACATCCACGTCCACGTCCACGACCACGTCCACGTCCACGTCCACGTCCATGTCCACGTCCATGTCCGCGTCCACGTCCATGTCCACGTCCATGTCCATGTCCATGTCCGCGTCCGTGTCCATGTCCGCGTCCATGTCCGCGTCCACGTCCACGTCCACGTCCACGTCCCCGTCCACGTCCACGTCCACGTCCATGTCCACGTCCACGTCCACGTCTACGTCCACGTCCACGTCCATGTCCATGTCCACGTCCACGTCCACGTCCACGACCACGTCCACGTCCACGTCCACGTCCATGTCCACGTCCATGTCCATGTCCACGTCCATGTCCATGTTCACGTCCATGTCCACGTCCACGTCCACGTCCATGTCCACGTCCACGTCCATGTCGACGTCAACGTCCACGTCCACGTCCCTGTCCACGTCCACGTCCATGTCCACATCCACGTCCATGTCCACGTCCACGTCCACCTCCACGTCCACGTCCACGACCATGTCCATGTCCACGTCCACGTCCATGTCCACGTCCACGTCCACGTCCACGTCCACATCCATGTCCACGACGACGACCACGTCCACGTCCACGTCCACGTCCACGACCACGTCCACGTCCACGTCCACGTCCACGTCCATGTCCACGTCGACGTCCACGTCCACGTCCACGTCCACGTCGACGTCCATGTCCTCGTCCACGTCCACCACCACGTCCACGTCCACGTCCACGTCCATGTCCACGTCCACGTCCACGTCCACGTCCATGTCCACGTCCATGTCCACGTCCTTGTCCACCTCCATGTCCACGTCCACGTCTATGTCCACGTCCACGTCCACGTCCACTTCCACGTCCACGTCCACGTCCACGTCCATGTCCACATCCACGTCCATGTCCACTTCCAAGTCCTCCACGTCCACGTCCATGTCCACGTCCATGTCCACGTCCATGTCCACTTCCACGACCACGTCCACGTCCACGTCCACATCCATCTCCACGTCCATGTCCACGTCCACGTCCACGTCCACGTCCATGTCCACGTCCACGTCCACGTCTACGTCCACATCCATGTCCACGTCCATGTCCTCCACGTCCACGTCCACGTCCATGTCCACGTCCACATCCACGTCCATGTCCACGTCCACGTTTATGCCACGTCCACGTCCACGTCCATGTCCACGTCCACGTCCACGTCCACATCCACGTCCACGTCCACGTCCATGTCCACGTCCAAGTCCTCCACGTCCACGTCCACATCCATGTCCACGTCCACGTCCACGTCCACGTCCACGTTCACGTTCACGTCTATGTCCCCACGTCCACGTCCACGTCCACGTCCACGTCCATGTCCACGTCCATGTCCACGTCCACGTCCATGTCCACGTTCACGTCCATGTCCACGTCCACGTCCACGTCCATGTCCACGTCCACCTCCACGTCCACGTCCACGTCCATGTCCACGTCCACGTCCATGTCCACGTCCACGTCTACGTCCACGTCCACGTCCACGTCCATCTCCTCGTCCACGTCCATGTCCACGTCCACGTCCATCTCCACGTCCACGTCCACGTCCATGTCCACGTCCATCTCTACGTCCACGTCCACGTCCATCTCCACGTCCACGTCCACGTCCAGGTCGATGTCCACGTCCACGTCCACGTCCACGTCCACGTCCACCTCCACGTCCACGTCCATGTCGACGTCCACGTCCACGTCCATGTCCACGTCCACGTCCACGTCCACGTCCACGTCCATGTCCACGTCCTCGTCCACGTCCATGTCCACGTCCTCGTCCACCTCCATGTCCACGTCCACGTCCACGTCCATGTCCACGTCCACGTCCACGTTCATGTCCACGTCCACGTACACGTCCATGTCCACGTCCACGTCCACGTCCACGTTCACGTCCACGTCCATGTCCACGTCGACGTCCACGTCCACGTCCACGTCCACGTCCAGTCCACGTTCAAGTCCTCCACGTCCACGTCCACGTCCACGTCCACGTCCATGTCCACGTCCACATCCACGACCACGTCCACGTCCACGTCCACGTCCACGTCCATGTCCATGTCCACGTCCACGTCCACGTCCACCTCCACGTCCACGTCCATGTCGACGTCCACGTCCACGTCCACGTCCCTGTCCACGTCCACGTCCATGTCCACGTCCACGTCCATGTCAACGTCCACGTCCACGTCCACGTCCCTGTCCACGTCCACGTCGACGTACATCTCCACGTCCACGTCCACATCCATGTCCACGTCCACGTCCACGTCCACGTCCATGTCCACGTCCTCGTCCACGTCCATGTCCACGTCCACCTCCATGTCCACGTCCACGTCCACGTCCATGTCCACGTCCACGTCCACGTCCACGTTCATGTCCACGTCCACGTCCACGTCCATGTTCACGTCCACGTTCACGTCCACGTCCACGTCCACGTCCATGTCCATGTTGACGTCCACGTCCACGTCCACGTCCAGTCCACGTTCAAGTCCTCCACGTCCACGTCCACGTCCACGTCCATGTCCACGTCCACGTCCACAACCACGTCCACGTCCACGTCCACGTCCACGTCCATGTCCACGTCCACGTCCACGTCCACGTCCACCTCCACGTCCACGTCCATGTCGACGTCCACGTCCACGTCCACGTCCCTGTCCACGTTCACGTCCATGTCCACGTCCACGTCCATGTCCACGTCCATGTCCACGTCCATATCCACGTCCTCGTCCACGTCCATGTCCACGTCCACGTCCACGTCCACGTCCACGTCCATGTCCACGTCCACGTCCACGTCCACGTCCATGTCCACGTCCAAGTCCTCCACATCCACGTCCACGTCCATGTCCACGTCCACGTCCACGTCCATGTCCACGTCCATGTCCACGTTCACGTCCACGTCCACGTCCACGTCCACGTCCAGTCCACGTGCAAGTCCTCCACGTCCACGTCCACGTGCAAGTCCTCCACGTCCACGTCCACGTCCACGTCCATGTCCACGTCCACGTCTACGTCAACGTCCACGTCCACGTCCACGTCCACGTCCACGTCCACGTCCACGTCCACGTCCACGTCCACGTCCTCGTCCACCTCCACGTCCATGTCCACCTCCACGTCCATGTCCACGTCCACATCCACGTCCACGTCCACGTCCACGTCCATGTCCACGTCCACGTCCACGTCCACGTCCAGTCCACGTTCAAGTCCTCCACGTCCACGTCCACGTCCACGACCATGTCCACGTCCACGTCCACGACAACGTCCACGTCCACGTCCACGACAACGTCCACATCCACGTCCATGTCCAGGTCCACGTCCATGTCCACGTCCACGTCCACGTCCACGTCCAACTCCACGTCCACGTCCATGTCGACGTCCACGTCCACCTCCACGTCCACGTCCATGTCGACGTCCACGTCCATGTCCACGTCCACGTCCACGTCCACGTCCATGTCCACGTCCATATCCACGTCCACGTCCACGTCCACGTCCAAGTCCACGTCCAGGTCCACGTCCACGTCTACGTCCACGTCCACGACCACGTCCATGTCCACGTCCACGTCAACGTCCACGTCCTCCACGTCCATGTTCACGTCCACGTTCACCTCCATGTCCACGTCCACGTCCACGTCCACGTCCACGACCACGTCCAGGTCCACGTCCACGTCCACGTCCACGTCCACGTCCACGTCCACGTCCACGTCCACGTCCATATCCACGTCCACGTCCATGTCGACGTCCACGTCCACGTCCACGTCCCTGTCCACGTCCACGTCCATGTCCACGTCCACGTCCATGTCCACATCCCCGTCCACGTCCACGTCCACGTCCACGTCCACGTCCATGTCACTTCCACGTCCACGTCCACGTCCATGTCCACGTCCATCTCCACGTCCACGTCCACGTCCATGTCCACGTCCTCGTCCACGTCCATGTCCACGTCCTCGTCCACCTCCATGTCCACGTCCACGTCCACGTCCATGTCCACGTCCACGTCCACATCCACGTTCATGTCCACGTCCACGTCCACATCCATGTCCACGTCCACGTCCACGTCCACGTTCACGTCCACGTCCATGTCCACGTCGACGTCCACGTCCACGTCCACGTCCACGTCCACGTCCAGTCCACGTTCAAGTCCTCCACGTCCACGTTCACGTCCATGTCAACGTCCACGTCTACGACCACGTCCACGTCCACGTCCACGTCCACGTCCATGTCCACGTCCACGTCCACGTCCACGTCCACGTCCACCTCCACGTCCACGTCCATGTCGACGTCCACGTCCACGTCCACGTCCATGTCAACGTCCACGTCCATGTCAACGTCCACGTCCACGTCCATGTCCACGTCCATGTCCACGTCCACGTCCACGTCCACGTCCACCTCCACGTCCACGTCCATGTCGACGTCCACGTCCCTCTCCACGTCCACGTCCATGTCCACGTCCACGTCCATGTCAACGTCCACGTCCACGTCCCTGTCCACGTCCACGTCCACGTCCATCTCCACGTCCACATCCACATCCACGTCCACGTTCACGTCCACGTCCACGTCCATGTCCACGTCCTCGTCCACGTCTATGTCCACGTCCACGTCCACCTCCATGTCCACGTCCACGTCCACGTCCATGTCCACGTCCACGTCCACTTGTTGTCCATGCCACGTCCACGTCCATGTTCACGTCCACGTCCACGTCCACGTCCACGTCCACGTCCATGTCCACGTCGACGTCCACGTCCACGTCCACGTCCACGTCCAGTCCATGTTCAAGTCGTCCACGTCCACGTCCACGTCCACGTCCATGTCCACGTCCACGTCCACAACCACGTCCACGTCCACGTCCACGTCCATGTCCATGTCCACGTCCACGTCCACGTCCACGTCCACCTCCACGTCCACGTCCATGTCGACGTCCACGTCCACGTCCACGTCCCTGTCCACGTCCACGTCCATGTCCACGTCCACGTCCATGTCCACGTCCATGTCCACGTCCATATCCACGTCCACGTCCACGTCCACGTCCATGTCCACGTCCACGTCCACGTCCACGTCCATGTCCACGTCCACGTCTACGTCCACGTCCACGTCCATGTCCACGTCCAAGTCCTCCACATCCACGTCCACGTCCATGTCCACGTCCACGTCCACGTCCATGTCCACGTCCATGTCCACGTCGACGTCCACGTCCACGTCCATGTCCACGTCCAGTCCACGTGCAAGTCCTCCACGTCCACGTCCACGTCCACGTCCATGTCCACGTCCACGTCCATGTCCACGTCCACGTCCACGACCACGTCCACGTCCACGTCCACGTCCATGTCCACGTCCACGTCCACGTCCACGTCCATGTCCATGTCCACGTCCACGTCCATGTCCACGTCCACGTCCATGTCCACGTCCACATCCACGTCCATGTCCACGTCCACATCCACGTCCACGTCCATGTCCACGTCGACGTCCACGTCCAGTCCATGTTCAAGTCCTCCACGTCCACGTCCACGACCATGTCCACGTCCACGTCCACGACAACGTCCACGTCCACGTCCATGACAACGTCCACATCCACGTCCACGTCCATGTCCACGTACATGTCCACGTCCACGTCCACGTCCACGTCCACGTCCACGTCCACCTCCACGTCCTCGTCCATGTCGACGTCCACGTCCACCTCCACGTCTACGTCCATGTCGACGTCCACGTCCATGTCCACGTCCACGTCCACGTCCATGTCCACGTCCATATCCACGTCCAAGTCCACGTCCACGTCCACGTCCATGTACACGTCCACGTCCACGTCCAAGTCCAAGTCCAGGTCCACGTCCACGTCTACGTCCACATCCACGACCACGTCCATGTCCACGTCCACGTCCACGTCCAAGTCCTCCACGTCCAAGCTCCTGGACCTGGCACTCTCCTAAACCACGCAAGCTCTTGGACCAGGCAAGCTCGTGGACTAGGCAAGCTCCTCGACCAAGCACGCTCCTGGACGAAGCACGCTCCTAGACCAGGCAAGCTCCTGGACCACACAAGCTCCTAGACCAAGCAAGCTTCTAGACCAGGCAAGCACCTGGACCAGGCAAGCTCGTGGACCAGGCAAGATCCT